AGAAACATTGCTATCTAAAGCAATCCTGATGTGGTGGTTTGAATAAGTGTCCCCTTAGGCTGCAAGTATTTGAACATTTTCTCCCCATTGGTGGCACTGTTTTGGGAGTATTTCCGAGGTGTGACCTTGCTGGAAGAAGCACACCACATGCCTGGGAGTAGACAGATTTTTTTTCTCTCTCTCTCTCTCTCTCTCTCTCTCTCTCTCTCTGCTTCCTGTGCCTGGTTAAAGATGTGATTGCCTGGTTTCCTGCTCTGACCACCTCTGCATCCATGCCTCCCCGCAATTATCATCTCTCAACGCTCTGTAACTGTAATTCAAATATACACTTCCTTCTTTAATTTGCGTTTGTGTCTTATGGGAGCAACAGAAAAGTAACAAAAAGATCAGTGTTGGACAGATTATCACACCGCATTTCAAGTGACATTAAAGAGTTAAACTAATAAAAGCTACATGCTAGTGGCATAAAACAGATATGTACATCAATAGAAAACCCAAACTGAAGACCCAAATGGGAATGCATGTTATTATAGACACTTGATAGCTACAAAGATTCAATCAATATACACTGGAGGTAAGAGAACATCTTCAACAAATAGTGCTGGGAAAACTGGATGTCCACATGTAGAACTACAAAATTATACTTATGTCTATCCCCCTGCACAATTGGATCAATGTCAAACCTGCAACTGAAACTAGAAAAAGTTAGGCATTATCCTACAAAATATAGGTGCAGGGAAGGAATTTCTGAAACAGATGGCCTTCATTCAGAAATTAAGAGCAACTGACAAATGGAATTTCATTAATCTACAGTGTTTCACAAAAGAAGAAACAATCCAGTGAAGAGGGATCCCCAGAGTGGGACAGAACCATTGTCACCTGTACATCCAACAAAGCATCAACTTTCAGAATATACAAAAACTTAAAAAACAAAGATTCAAGAAAAGAAATGACCCAGTTAAATATTGGGCCTGAGATTTGAACAGAGAGCTCTTAAAGAAAAAAATAAAAGTGGCTAAGATACAGCTTTTGAAAATAACACAAGAGAACAACAGCTGTTAAAACGAGAAGATAAATATTTTTTAATACAAGAAGAGATCAACAGTTTAAACAGATTCATAATGAATAAGGAAGTCAAAGAAAAAATACAAAGCCTCACCACCAAAAATCCCAGGTCTAGGTGGATTCACAGTGAATGTTATCAGACTTTCAAAGATCTATAACCATCTCTACTTGAATTATTCAAAAAGACAGAAATGGAGGAAAATCACCCTAACTCCTTATATGAAACCAAAATTACTCTAATACCCAAACCAGGAAAAGAAATACCAAAAAGCAAAAATTTAGGACCATATCTGTCATGAACATAAGAGAAAAATTTCTCAACAAAATCTTCATAAACCAGGAAAAGAAATACCAAAAAGCAAAAATGTAGGTTCATATCTGTCATGAACATAAGAGAAAAATTTCTCGACAAAATCTTCACAAACCACATACAGACACACATCAAAAAGATAATTTACCATGATCAAGTAGGCTTTATTCCAGAGAGAGAAGGAAAGTTCCATACATATAAGACAAAAAAACATATAAATGAACTTAGAGATATTACATGATTATTTCAATAGACACAGGGAAGATCTTTGGCAAAATGAAACATTCGTTCATGATAAAACTACTAGATGTAATTAGATTTGAGGGAACATACCTCAATATAATTAAGGTAATATACAACAAAATCACAGTCAAAATCATTCTAAATCTAGAAAAACTTATAGCATTCACATTAAAATTAGGAACCAGAGAAAGCTGTCTGCTATCCCCAATCCTTTCCATATAGTGCTTGAAACTCTAGCTTTAGAAATAAGACAGACAGGAGAAGGAAACTGAAGGGGTACTAATTGGAAGAGGTCAAATTATCCTTATTTGAAGATGATTTGATATTATACATAAAAGATTCTAATATTTTACCAGAAATTTTCCAGAAATGATTAGCACTTTCAGCAAAGAAATGACAGGGTCTTACAAAAATCACATGAATCGGATTCTTGATTCTTGGTGGACCCAGTGCATGAGCCCACACTCTTCTGAATGATATTGTGGTGGAAGGTGTAGATAGGGGAGGGGATCTAAATACCCCCAAACTGTTTTATGAAATTCAAAAAGATTAAATAAAATTTTGAATTAATTACATTTAAAGCAATGATTTTAGGGATTGTAATTGAACAAAGATTTCTCATCACCATCAAG